AATATACAGACGCTAACTCTTGCCGCGGTAAGATTCGAGGCGTTTCATAAAGCCGCGAGTAAACTATCGTAGAATGTCAACAACAATAACTTTTAACAACTAAAATACTGCAAATAACGTTGCTATTACAAGATGGATAACCATGAAGCGATCTTATGCTTACTGTTACAGTTAAATATGTATAAATGTTATAATTACTGAGGTACTATGGCAGATTGAAAACTATTGCTAGAACTGGTATATATAATAATTATATTAGACTGGAAGATACTGTATATATTAAAGCTATTTACTTAAGAATAAAACGACTTACCAGTATAAAGACGCAATGGACTGATCGGATATGAAAGGAAAGTTCTGATGCTGTTGAATAGTACAAGTCGAGTAAGTATTAGTAAATTTGGCCTACTCGCGATTGATAGAAATAGTGAAGCAGTTTTACTTCACCATATACAATCCAACTCCCCGTGAACCTTTAGGATGTAAGTACTTAATAATATAGATATGTAAAACTAAAAATGCCTCACTTAAATCTTTAAACATAGTCGATTTATCCTTAAAAATGGCTTTGGCTTCTTCGGTCGAGCAATTTTTAATTATTTTGTATATTTAACTATTGTATTATCTGGGCCGTGTCGCCATCTTTACTTCCGCCGACTTCCATTGGCAGAAATAAAAATGGCGACGATAAATACTATTGCATTTTAAATATGGAAATGGTTTAACAAAAATAATGTGTGTATGGGAAAAACTATTAACATCTGCTATAGCTTTGTTTGGCAATATCTATAATCATCCATTTACATAAATATAAGCGATCACGTTTATTGACTCGTCCAGGTATTAAACGTTAGTGTAAGCGTGTCCTTATCCCGACCAATGTTAGAAACGCATAAGATATCGATTATTCAATCCCTTAAAACTTAGCCTACCCCGTATACGTTATATTTATCGAAATAAATATTTAGAAAATTCATTTCTAACAATGGTTCGACGGATAGGCGGTTTCGCTTGCTACATTAAGTATATTTAAAAATTAAACGATTAAATTGGAGGTAATACTTAATATTATTGGAGGTAATACTTAGATTAAAAAGACCAAGATCGTTTTTGTGAAACAGTTTGTGAACGTGTGACATTTGTTTGACAGTTCGTCATCTAATTTAAAAAATTACCGCGTCGTTACGAAGCTATCTACGTTCGACGGATTACGAAGAAACGATACGAAGTGAGATTTTAGCCGGAATCTACTGAATTTCGTCAATGTGCGGTATAAAAATCTGGCAGTTATCGGCATGAGACGGTAAAGCATTTGAACAAAATAGTTGTTGATTATAACAATGAGAAACGGTATTGTGTTTAAAGATATGTTTAGTTACTTTTTAACCGGGCTGTAAATTGAAAATAACCGTTTATTATAATTCTATGTTACTGTTACTGAATATTAACGTTTGTTCCTCTTAGGTTCCTTTCTCTTTGTCCCCATACCTGTCATTTTTAATGGTCTACTATATATTTACTTACTGTAGGTTATTTTTATAGTTGTACTGTAACGAAGGCATTCCGTTGTTGATTATTTTGTGCACTATCTTACTTAGTAACACAGTCGGTTGTTCAATGTATCCATTTAGTTACTTAAAAAAATATCGGGCGAGAAAAAGCAAAAATGATGAAAACGAAACATCCACAAAGCAATTCACCCCGGGTGAAATGATTTTAATAAATTCTTTTTGCCGTTATAAACGAAAATCCCCTCACTAACGAGACCTTACTATTTAGAAATGCAGCATTTTGGTATACATTGCATAATATAAAATATAAAGTAAGTATAAGTTAATTATGTTTCCATTCGTTTCGCGTTTGATATTCGCGCCGCGGCGTTCGGCACTGTTTTTGTTTACGTTCAGGCGACAAGTTTAATTCCTCGTCAGCAATCCGGCGCCCATTCCGCCGACACATAACCAAACTTAACGCAATAAGACCTAATTAATATAACAATCGCCGAAGGCCCCCCCCGAATTCCGGTGTGGTTCGCAGCCGCGTATTGAGATCATGGGAATTTTGAATAGCACGTAATTGATTTCAACAAACTAAAATGGGCGACGAACATTCCGAAATGTCTCCAGACAACTAGGCGACCAACAACAGGCCTACGAGCGGCCGAACGAATAAAAAAATAATAATTGCACAGCGAAAACAATGAACGCAAACACCAAGAGAGGTTATTGAAAGACTATAGTCTAAGTTTCACTATCAGTAATCCATTAGTAGAATATATAAAAAATCCTTTCCATTAATGATTTCATCTATTTACTATTTAGTTAATAATATCACGAGGCGTATATCCCAAACGATGCCACGATACTTTAATTATGTATTAAACACTAGCTTATAACATATTTACAAATCATACTACCCGCTTGCTTTTTTTTTTCACGTCAAAGCTCCCTAAAAAGTTACTATGTCCACTCCCGAACCGATATTACCATTCTCTATATTACATCGGACTTTTTAAACAGACATCCGGTAAGTATCATTTTAACATTGAATTAATAAAATCAAAAACAAAATAATATATTTGAGGTATTAAATAAACTGAGGTGCGCGCGCCTTATCTGGCGATAACCTTGGATTTTTTTTTAAAAAAAAGCTCAAAGCCCCACGTCATCCGCAAGCCGAGGACAAACCGAAAATACATCTAAACTGTTAAAACTATTTGGAAATCTACCAAATAACGTTAAAATATGTAAAATGATATCACAAAGTACGAATATATAACATTCCGAAAAAGAAATTGCCGAACACCTTAAATTAATTCTTACATGTTACCTTAGCGTTGAGAAATAAATGCAAAAAAAAAAAGAAAACAAAAAAATGTCAAATATGTTTTTCTGTTTTTAAATCGAACCGAATTGAGTCGAAAGGGTGCACCGAAATTGGATACGTCGCGAGCCCTAAGAAAATGGCTATTCATAAAGATAGTCTCACTTTGAGTGATCGTTCTGGATATGTTGCAGTGGAAGCTGTTTATAAAATTTCATAAAGATATGGCACAATAAAATCGTTTTAAACCTGTCATTTCTTTGTTCAGAATGTTAATGTTAAAATATTCTACTAGAAATAAATGCATATTGGCAAAATATCATCCTCTTTTCTTTTTTTTTCTTTGGCTTTGTGAAATATCACGGTGTTAAGAATACTTTTCCTTCGTTAGCGTTACTATAGATATTATATCTCTGTGATATGTTGGTTTTTTTTTTCTCAAGGACATTTTCATATTATTTCGATCTTCGTTCGCTTCTATTGTTAGTGTAAACCCTGAATAGATAGATATGTTCACCTTATACTGTATGCCGAATGCGGTACCCAAGCAATTTCCTATATTATTAGTAAATAAAAATATTCTTATACAATCTGCAGCCATCTTATGGTCGATCCTAAGAATTTCGAGAATAATATAATAATAATAATAATTAATTAATCAATAAATCTAATAAATTTTCAATAACGTGACGTCCGCTACGTTGGTCGACATTTAAATAAGAAACCACTATACACTCATAGAGAGAAATCCGAAAATGGATACAGATTAAATATAATTATATTAATTAATAACTAACGCCTACGTGATTTTTATACAGAAAGAAGAGACGACTAATCAATTATGTCGTAGTCATGATTTGGAATCATGCACGCGTATACGATCGACGAATTCATCGCACTCCGAAGACCCACGCGCTACCCCTATTTTTTTTGTTTACCCCTACCCTCCACACGGAATTTTCACTCCCTCCACGCCGAACTGTACTCCACTCTTGACCCTGTAGTCGCGGCCTTAGAAATGTCGCTAGTCCCCCCAAGAATGCTAACCGTTTGCCAACTGTACGCCCCAAAGTCCGTACAATGCGATGGTCACGCGGTCGAAGGCACCTAACTAACGCACCAACGGTGACCCTAAGTGCACTATGGCGTCAACGACGGCAGTTCCTCGTTCTGGGAGGCAGTTGTAAGGCTTCGGCGGACCTTAAAGGCTTTGAAGAAGCCTTCACTTGAAATTAGACAGATTGATCCCGTGATAATAAATCTACGAAATTTAAGAGTTTTTGTCTAAAAGTATGCGAGATTCCAATCTAGAATCCTGAGTTGGCATCCCACAATCCTGGAGTGGGTATGTTTTTTTTTATCTATATACGCAAATTCTTTTTAACCGTGGAATTCTCATCAGCCTGAACACGTTCTCCGCATTCGGGAAACTGCCCCATTTCGTTGACGATTTACGTAAGTAAATAAATTGTAAGCCAAAACGCACATACAATACAAATAGTGATCAATCAGACGTTTAATTTTGTACTTTCGAAATCAGATTCTAAGAAGTCTTTAATTTTTACTCAACATCAACTCGTTTTTTTTTTTTCGATTTTATTATTATTTTTTTATCTAAAAATTTTGGCATTCAACCACTAAATAATCTGTATTCATCTTTTTTTTAAAATTTAGATTTGGCGACCCGAAAAAGTTTCCTTAAAAAATATTTTCTTTGTATTTTCTTCCTCTCATTAAAAATTACGGTTTTTTTAAAATTTGTACGTTCCATTTGTACAGTTATCGAATCTAATTTGACACTAGGCGTCGTCGCAAAAAATTTTGTTTTTAAAAAAGTTTTGATTTCCCGTCATACTCCGCACTAGAATACAGTTGGCATAAATTTGGCAGTACTAGATATATTAATACTTTAGTATTGCTCTGGTTTACATTGTCGTTTTGAACACTGAACGTTCTCAATGGAAAAGGCCCGTCCCGGGGCGGGGTGCGGGCGGCGAGGCGCACTGGGCGGCCCCCGGCGGCACTCCGCGAATACTGTTCACGTAACATTACAAGCTAACGTCGAATATTTAACTATATTTATAATACACGAATGAACGCCTGCGGGGCGGCGCGGCTATTATATTCGGCACTGTCCGTATATTGCACACGTGCGTTCAGGCCATGGTCTGCGGTCATTGCAGGGCGGGCGGCAGCGGGCCGTGGTCGCCGGCGCCCAGGTCGAAGAGGTGCGGCGCCGGCGCCAGCGCGCCGTGCAGCGCCGACGTCTTGAGCAGCCGCTTCAGCATGCCGCTGGAGCCGCGGTGCTGCAGGCTCTTGTGCGTGGTCAGCGAGTTCTTGGTCCGGTACCTCCGGTGGCAGAACTCGCACACGTACAGCGTGTCCGACTGCTCGTGCTTGTCTTGGAAGTGTCGCTTCAGGGAATAGTAACAAGAGAATGTCCTGCGACAGTACGGACACTCTTGCGGCTCGTTGATGCCGCCGGCGGTGGGCGGCGGCATCCGCAGCGGCGGCACGGCTGCAAATTGAAACCGGGTTACGGCGCTGCCTGTGCCGCCCGCGGGGGGCGTGCGACGTACGCAGAATGCATGAGGTTAATAGTAATATTATCGTATAACTAATTATATGCACTGTACACATTGACTAACTACACAATAATCACGAGTTTGTATATATTCAAAAAAGTCTCAAGGAAACTCTCTCAACCACAACGACACAGAACACGTGATAACAAAAATGATAGAAGCATGCTCCAAGCAACACAACAACGTCAAAACTGCGACACCCGATGGGAGGGGGGCCTTTGGCTTCGGGGTTTCAAATCAAGGATTAAAAAAAATAATAATCTTTAAATAAAAATCAAAACATTTAGGAGTGAAAATAAAAGATCAAACCGAAACAAAAGAGAAACAAAGGAGGACCCGTCGAGTCCTATCTTATATATGTATTATCGGCAAGTATTTTCGTTAGCGGTCCCTAGCCCTATATGCTGTCTATAAACATAGTCTAACCTTTGTGAGTGATGTTATGTACGGCGGTTGAGCGTGGGTTGGCCTCGTGATGGTTCTCTTTGCTAGACGAGTTCTGCCGCGTGCCGCACCAACTCCGCCCAAGTAGTCACTAAAAAAATCGGATATGATCCGTCTCCCCCGGCCTCGACTTGTGGTAGGTGTATATGTGGGTCATCAGGGAGTTCCTCGAGCAATAGACTCGCTCGCATATCGTGCATCTGTACTCCTCCTGCCTCTCGGCGTGCTTGTCCGCGATATGCCGTTTCAGAGACGCCTTTGAGCATAACACTTTCCCGCATAGAGAGCAGGAAAATAACTTTTTACCTGCAAGCAAATCGAAAAAAAAAACAAAACAAATATGGGGCCCGCTCCCCCGGTTTGGCGCGGTGGGGGGGACGCTTTATGCGACCATGGGGACACCTAACTGAGCACTCCGTGGTCGCCATGTCTCCAAAACAAAAATTAACGGTGAGGGAACAGAAAGTGTCACGAGGTATAATAGAAATAAAAGTTAAAAATAAAACTCAAGAAATGAAACGAAAAATTAAAACACAAATAAATAATAAATGATGGCGAAGCTACGGTGGCCGGTGATGTGTTAGGGAACAAAGGCATGCACGCGTTGCGCGGGGGATTGGGAGGAACACAAGTGTTTAGGCTCAAAAACCAGGTGTGTGAAGCGCTGACAGAGTAGTGTAGAAAAAAAGAACTGCTCTATGGTCCAATCTACAGGAAGCACATTATCACAGCTACGTCACGCCTTTTAGGCGCGCTACGTCAAATCGGACGCGTCCTCGAGGTGGTTATGAATTAAAACTAGCGACATTGTGTATTTGTTTTTATTAAAAACGCCATTATCATCAATATTAGGATTTATGAAGTTCCGTTTAACGATTACAATTACATTTTATGAGTAGTTACGTCAAGTGGTTTCACTTGTAGAAATTATAAAAAGGAAAAAGAACTATTACGATATACATACGCAGGATATGAACATATTGTTAAATAAGTGTGCAGCCCATTACAGCTTAGTGTTGCCAGGTCGTTATAACATCGATAGAAACATTTAATCAGCCACATAAACATCATTTAAGAATCAAACATTCAGAAAAAATCGCGTCGTTTGGAAGACAAAAATATCGAATAAAATTTTGGCACCCCAACGATAAGTAACTAATAGTCTAATGGACTGCATTACAAATAGTGTGCCGATTGTCAACAAATTTAAATACAAAAAAAATCAAAGATATTAATAATTTAAGAAGAGAAAAATAATAATAAAATTTCAATAAAACAACCAATAAATTAATTTAGACTCCTTATAAAATAGGTAAAATAGCCAACAAGAAGTATAAGAACACATTGTATCAAGGCTGTGCGCCTCCCACGCCGTGGCGCGTGCGTTGGAAAGATTAAAAAAAAAACTTAAACAGGTCACAGAAACAGTCTTAAACTTGCTAAGATCCTAACTAATGTAGTTTCAACAGGGATGTGTTCTGCTCCTTAGAACACGGTTTAATGTATTCGCCCTTCAAAACCCATCCAGACCGTGTGTGGCCGCATGAGATCCCGTTAAACTTAGCGGCTACGAGAATTAAACGATGTAAACGAAAAAGTTTTTTTTTTTTAAAAAAAAACTTCCTAAGATCCGAATAAATCACAAAAGAGTGAGAATTTTTTTGACATAATACCGAAACAGTTACGCTTTCCGACTTCACGACTTTTCCATCATATAAAAATTTCTAGTTAAATTTAGTAAATAAATTGTACAATTTTTAATCTAGAGAATATGCCTAATAGTGTACAATTCAATCGGGTACTTAGTCTAATCAGTCTATAGCGTTTATTAATTTTGGCGAAAAACCTTTTTGATTAGGAAATTATAACGAAAAAAAAAAGACAAAAAAAATGACATCTCAAGATCCCTTTGATTACCCCTCAGCTACTAAGAAATCAGCCAAATAATTACCGTACTGCCACTCATAGCAGCACATCCCTGTAATCGTAAATTAAACGTAGATGCTATTATCTATGAATTCAGATAAACCTTACTCCTACGTAGTTAACTAACTTAATTCCCAAACCCAAATTAACAGTAAAACTATTATCTAAATTACAAAAAAAAAAAGGAAAAAAACAACAATCCTATTACGTCTTACGAAGTTTGCAAGTGAAGATTTGCAAATAAAAACTTAACATCCTCTCCGAGCGCGGAATGTTGCGAAATATTTGAAAAAGGAATTTTGACTCCCCCCCCCCACTTTTTACTCATCCCCCTCCCCCCTTCGTTTAGCTTAACACTTTCCTTAACACGAACAACGTTCCATTTTAGCACCAAATCACTAGTCTTTCCAATTAGTTAAACGTACCATAATAAAGCTTATCAATCAACTAAACAAAGAGTAGTACCTAAGCTTTTATGCATCTAGTAATAACAACATAAAATCTTATAACACATAGCATTAAATTTATTTTAGGAAGCCTCTGGTTAAAATATTAGCATGAAACGTTACCTTCCAGGTAATGTGTTTCTAACACTACTCCTAAACATTCTTCGATTTATTTTTCAGAAGATCTCATGCAAAATATGTCTTTTTCTTTTCAAACTCGAATAAAAACACAATCGTAATTATAAAGCAGGCACTAATAATTACTTAATGTGTATATCGTTACAATAAATTATGTTTTACATTTACACTTAGATAAGAATTTCTTATTACTATATAATAATAATAAAAAAAGTAAAAATAACAATAGCTTTACCGACAATATGAGTCGTGTGAAATATAGTGATGTGTTAATTGAACTATAATTGTAGAGTATAGTCGTATAACGAAAACGTATATGTGTTTAACCAAAAATCTACACTGGTTAACTTTAACGCGACGGTCTAGATCCAGAAGAGAGTTCTAGAAGTGTTGTCAGTTCACTATACACCGAGCAAGCAATCGAATCGCGGTATAGGAATATCTATTTCTTACATAGGGAAAGAAATTAGGAATAACAATTGCGCGGTATAGGCAGGGAAATATCCTTGTGCACGCGGGTAAACGGTTTACTTTATATCTATGTAACATTAAAATGAGCTTTCTGAATCTAGACTACTATATAAAATGCGTTAAAATGCTCATTTGCAATAGCTATAACGTTAAGACTACGTATGGCAAGCAAGACGTTATAAATGAATATTCACTGTTCAAATTTAGGAACATTTAACACTGAGAGTTATTACAGTTTAATAGTTATCACCTACATGTATTTTTTTTTATTAGTGCGTCATTTGCTTACATTCGTCTAATGTAACAGAAACATATTTATGTAAGTCGACACGCAAAATGAAATTCACGCGGGAAAACAATTTAAAACATACCAACGTCAAAAGAAATGTCAACGAATAAAAAAAAATAATTAGAGACGAACACGTGACAGCGATAAAACTTATTTCCGAAAGTAACTAAACCTCTTCACTAAATAAAAATATTATTAATAAAAAATAAAATAAAATAGCCATAATTCATTCGCTTAAATGGCACCTTGCGATTCACTTTGCTAAGTAATGCTGTGTGTGCTTTGAATATATTCAAAAATAAATCGTAATAAAAAAAAGATAGTAAATGACAAAATTCAGCCGACTAGAAAGAGAAGCCATAAAATAAGAATTATTTGTCGACTTTGAAATGAGAAAAATTAGCGAGATATATTGTATCTGTTTTGTGGTATGTGATGTTTCGGTGGATTTTTACTTTTCGATACAGATTCGGTATTGGTATTATCGGTATGTGTGTGTTGAGCGACGGTGCCCTGCGGGTAGTTTAAAAAAAAAACTGTTGTCATTGTCTCTTCTATTGGTGTCTGGTGCTATTTATCATCTGATTGTTTCAGTCTTAGTTAATGAACAAAAAGAAATCACCTAAATAAAATATAAATTTGAAAGCCTCATTAGCCAATTATATATCTGTGTATATAATTTTTTTTTATTAACTTTAAATAGATTTTTAGTAATCTCGTATAAATATCTAAGTGTGAGATCATGAAGGTAAAATACAGAATAAATAAAGTTTGCGAAACGCCGAAAAATGAACACAATGTTTCAAACAATATGCCTCTTTTGTTTCTTATAACGAACACTGTTACTTTCTTTTTTTTTAATAAATTTAAGCCTAATATATAAATTTACAGCACCAAGATTTTTCTCTTTTCTCAAAATATTATTTTTTTCTCTTCGCCTTATTGTCACACATTAACATAGTGTAAAAATCAGGAATATTTCACATACCGCAGTATTGCACCTTGCGGGCACGATAGTGGCACGATATTTTCGATAACAATTCTCAAAGACTAAATAAACAAAGACTCGTCCCAACTCCACCCACCCTCGCAACGATTGGAATGTCGTAAATCCGTTTTTTTTAAATATTGTGATGATACGTAAGTAACCGCCGCAAGCCGACTCCCTCGCAAGATCGACTCGAGAAGTTCAAAGATTAAACAACAACGATAGTAATAATAATAAAACAACGTAAACAGAACGACACGTGGCAGCCCACCGGAACGGCGAGCCGCCGTATGTACCGTCTCCGCGATACTTGGCGCGCCTAGACGTCGAAGTGGTCTTTGAACTTGTAGAAGTCGATGTTGTGGTGGGGCGGGTTGAGCTTGGCGTCGGCGGCGGTGCTAAGGTTCTGCGGCTGCGCCTGGTGCGGCGGGCCGCGCTGGCGCCGGTGGTAGATGCTCTTATGGTTGTTGAGCGAGTTGAGGGTGCGGAACACCTTGTGGCACAGGCCGCAGCGCGCCGAGTGCAGCGGCTGCAAGTGCTGCTGCTCCGTGTGCCGCTTGAGCGTGAGCCGCGTGGAGAGCAGCTTGCCGCACACCTCGCAGCGGTGCCCCGCGCCCAGGGGGCCCACTGCGCCACACATAACGACCAACATTAGCGCATTAGTCAACGGCGCGCCCAGCGCACCCGCCCGCCTCCAACGGCTCCCAAACGTTAGGAACCAATTGGCACAAAGGCGCGCCACGCGGCGCCTCCTAATCGTCTCTACGGCGTGGCTATTTTGCGAAACGCGGCTTGGTCGAGGCAATTCAACGCGATCCGGCCACCGGGCTTGACTAATGCGCTCATTTTTTTCTCGTTGCAACAGGAAAAAAAATTTAACGTTGGTGGTTATGCGTGTACCGATCAGAGATGTCCCAATTGGTTCCAAGAGGCGGGGTCGTGTAAGCGGAGCCGCGCCGGAGCTCAGGGCGCCCCGCTTACACGCGACAAGGTTTAGTAACGATACAAAGATAGGTTATATGGCGGTGCGCATGCAAAGTACACGTAAAACTATGCTATGTACAAAATGTTAGGAACATGTCGCTTCACGACTCTGCTTTCGTAAACTTAATAACAAACTTCTAAGGGCAAGACTATGGCGTTTTAGGTGGTAAAGGATGGCAGCTCTAGTTCTTCGAATGGCAACGTATTCGGCGGCGGATTCGGCGGGCGTCAATTGACCGGGTAGAAAGGGCCCTGGCCGGCCGTGGAGGGCGGCTGCTGCTTGCGATGGTAGATAGACTTGTGGTTCCTCAGACTATTCAGGCTGGAGTATACCCGCCGGCAAATATTACAGACGGGCTCCCTCGAGGGTCTCATGTGAACGTTCTGAATATGACGTTTGAGCCGCGTCAGTGAGGACAAGCTCTTGTTACAGGGCTCGCATCTGTAATCTTCCTGGGGGGTGCGGGCGCCACCTGGTCACAACACAAGCAGTTAGCCCCTTGGAAGCTTCCGAACGCACTTTTAATGCACTCTCTTTATCGCAGCCTCTCAATTTGTTTTGGTTTTGTTTTACTTTTTAAGCACCGCCACCCCCCTTTACAGTTTGATGATAGCCATCCGTCGCGCCGTAAATAATGCGAAGCGATATTAGTAACGCATGTATGCTTTCTGTGCCCTACCGCGGCCTAAGGCCTGCTAAGCGCGGCCGGTGTTTTGGCGATGCGACGGCCGTGTCCGCAACGCGGTGCGCGGCCTCCGAGCGAGGGTCGAGGGACTTCTCAACGGAACCGGAACCGTATGCTAACGTGTGTCGCGTGTGTTGATTTCAGGTTTTTTTTTTATTATTTCCAATTCAAAATATAATCCGACACCCGGGTGGGCCATTACTAAATTCCATTGTCCAGTCTCGAACGGCTCCGGACGTTACAATTCCCGAGACAATAACGGTTAAGTGCAATACGAGACTGTTTTAGATACACGAATGAATCATGGGATCCGTTGCCGGTTTAAAAGTAAATAATTCATTACCGGAATACGGCGTGAGCTAATTCGATGCTGTCGAATGATGCTACTTTCGGAATCGTCTTCTCGTGTTTCTCATAAATGTTTTCATTTTCGACACACAGTAATTTTGCAGCCAATTGTGACAAGTGCATTTGCCGTTAAACGGTTACATATTTTTTTTTATCGTTGTTGTTGTTTGTTGATGTTTTAAAAACGACTTCCAATACGACATGTTGTCATGAAAACAAATGCAAATAGACAATAACAGAAAAAAAAGAAAAGAAACTCAAAAGTTGGATAACGGGAATGAGGGATCTTTCCTAGCTTATTTACTTTAAGACACATCTATGAAACAAGCTAGCATATCTTCCTTGTATAGTTTACATTAATCTAGGTACAATACAATAACATGCACGCCACGTTGAGTTTTGGTTCAATGATCAATTCTCATTTCCGGTACAGAAACGTATAGAGTCTGCTAAATGAAAAAAGATTATGCCTAATACGCGGTACATCGAACCAAAACACAAAAAGCTAACATTAATACTTAGTACAGAACACAGAGCACAAAATGAAGATATATATGTATATATAGAGGTTAAGAGGATGTATATATAAATACTCATAATACATAGTATTAAACAGATACAGATCACGTGGTAATTGCCTCATACATTTTTTTTAAAATTTAAATACAAAAACCTAATAATGATACATAAACCTAATAATGACAGAGCAGAGAGGAAGCGGTGATGGTGGCATACGACAGACAGTGCATTAAAAATATCGTTTGTTTCAATATATGTAGGTAATGCATAAAATAAATTTGCTGCTATAAAAGCCGCGACTCACCTTGAGATGTGCTCGCCATGCCGTCGGGGGCCAAAGGGCTCGGCAGTCCTGAAAACATCGCACACAACTTATGCAATCGTCATTAGAGACACATCCAACTATCAATGAAACATATTAATAATTAAAAAAAAAACAATCGTTTAAAATAAACTGATAAAATTATGGGCAAAAATTGAAAGATACGAATTTCACTTATAAACTTCCACCTTCTTTAATCGTAATTGTCTCGTATTTAACACACACGTGATAACGGTACATTCAAGATCGTGACATCCATCGATAACCCATTTTCACTTCATTATTGAAGCAGATATGTGTCACGAGAGTTTCCTTTTGGCAAGCTGTACGTGACGCCAAACATCTTGACGGCTGAAATATCGTAAAATGCACCCGAGACGGTAATTACCGGCAAGCGACGAGTGATCGGTGAGCGCGGCCATGCTGAAGTTGTAGGTGTTAGACGGTGCGAAGAGTTTGGTGTCAGTCGGCTGGATGAAAGGCGACGGCGGCAGCTGCGGGGGCGGGGTGCGGTCGTCGGCGTCGGCCGAGCTGCCGCGAGACGGCGGCCCTCCCTGAGGCATCAACGATGCAGGCATTAAACTCTGGCGAAGACGGACAACCAATCTTTGACACGTATTACGTCCGCGTTCAGCGCCAACGCTAACACAGCTAAGCTTTTATAAAGTTCACATAGTTTTAGCGGTGAAAATTTGACAGTGTGAGTTTGTGTTTCAAAACCTTGATCAAGGTTAGGTCACATTGTATAGGTTCAACATTATGTTATCCTGTTTATCTATAGGTGTAAATTTAATAATTGTTCCAATAGTGAAACTACATAAATTCACTTGAACAAATTATGCTGCAAAATAAACACACCAGGGCCTTGTGATAACCTAATGTATTAGTGATGTATTGCTGCTGTATTAATACTACTGTATACTATTTGAGTGACGATTTCTAATAGTTGATGACGCTTTCAGTGTGTTAATAACCGTTTATTCTCAAGGACGGCATACTTTCGCGTGGCCTATTTGAAAGCGAGTCGTCCATTCTTCGGTGCGAGGCCAGTTACTTGACACCCCTTCCGCGTAAAGCGTCTAGTTATGATACCAGGTAACGATATGGAGGCGATTAAGCTTCGGTTACGGCGAGTTCAAACTAAATAGTACTAGTTTTTCGGGCGTGTGGTGGTTGTGTCGGATCAACGTGGTCGCCGATTGGAAGGAGCGAGGTTCAATTTCGAATTGCGAACGTGAACAAATCTATAGCACAGTCCTGTGAGCCGTGAATCTTTGAATGAACTGTCTATCATCAGCTTGGGACAGCATCATTTATAAAATCAAATTCAAGCACCTACACTGCTAGACCTTAAGATATCATAAGCTCCTTTTGTGTAGATCGGAAGAAATATATAATAAAATATATAATATAATAGTTGACGGTAGCCCGGGTCAACAACTCGGGTCTGTCCCGACCATGAACGCTGGATAGGGTTCGAAACGGGAATTTAAAAGTCAAATTTAAACGCGACATAACCATTAACTGTTTCTGCTTGTTACCGTGAGGTCGAAGGAAGTTGGTGTTTGTCAACAGGCAACATTTTTTGTCAATATTTATTAGTTAAAATTATTTTTGGAAAACAATTTCCCGAGCACTGTTTTGAATCTTCGTGCGGTTTGATAGCGTAAACGGTTAGAGAATAACAATGAAAGGAATCAGATTGTCCAATAGATTGTCCTCATGATATCATAACAAAGTCATTTATTATAAATAAGGAGACATCTAATTAATGCCCGTGAGTTCACGTCCATAATTAAAACATATAGTCTCCGCACAAACTTTACAAACATAAGAAATTGAACCTGTATTATTGTTAATGAAAATCCACTCAAGTATCGGATTTTTACATACAATACGTTAATTCTTTAAACTTTGCAACTCCCACGTTTAATAAATACTAAAAACACTTTCTCCATGGTCGCGTACGTCACGAAACTCTGAGCAAATTGAAAGGAATTTATCCTATTACGTTGTAAGAAGGTTGTGTTTACCCGACAATATCTAATCCCAAACTAAGCAAAGCTTGTACTATTTTATTATGTTATTGATAAACATACTTAAATTCAAGATTTTCTTTGAATAAAATAAATACATATGATACATAACAAACAGATGACAAAGAAAACACTATACTCATCAGATAATGTCATTCTAGCAGTGGAGACTGAACGGATGCTCTTAGACGAAAGAGATATTTTCTATTTCTCTTACTCCAGTCTGGTTATAGATGTATGGTATCCCTGTTTACTTAATATATCAAAAGTATTCATTTAGGCCGTTGTGTCCGGGTAAGTACCACGACCTGACAGAAGCCCGGCATGAAGTGAAAGTACTTGAGCGTTTCTGGTGAGTGAGGTAGCCGGTGCCCACTTTATTATAAGGTAGCAAACTGCAACCCTACATTGCTGCATATGTCCATGGGCGGCGGACGTCACTTACCATGAGGCGAACCGCTAGCTCGCTTGCCACAAAAAAACCAACCTGCTGCAATTTTATCACCAACGTTCAGGCGAGCGGGCGACTAATAAGGCAAGCATATACATTTCGTCTGCTTCGAATGGGTCAGCCTGTCCCTGCGACAGCGGCAACTTGTAAAATTTGTATAGGAACATACTCTTGAACACGGCTCGTTTCGGAACGTGAGCGGAGACTTGTAGCCTCTCCATACAAGCGTTGTGTTCGCTCCGCCAGCTGTTTGGGAATGAGGTGGGACCGACTCACCATAGACCTGTGGTGCGAGTGGGGCGGCGTGTCGTCGCTGCGGTCGATGTCCGCGTTGGGGCCGCATATCATGTCCACGGGCTCGTTCTTCACCTCGTCCAGGCGGGGGGAGGGGGAGCTGCTGCTGTTGGAGACGCCGTTGCCGTTCCCCTCGTGGCGGCCCAGGTGCGGCTTGGTGGAGAAGTCGGCCGCGTGCAGCTGCGGCTGGTCGTTGTTGTTGTCGTGGCGGGTGCGCTTGATGACGTCGGGCGAGTTGTCGGCGGAGCGGCTGTGGCGGCGCGGCGCGGGCGGGCGGCGCAGCAGGTGGGCGGCCACCGCGGGGGGAGGGTGCGAGAGCAGCGCCTCCTCCAGCTTGTCCGTGTAGCTGGGCGTGTGCGGCGTGTGCGGCGTGTGCGGCGTGTGCGGCGTGTGCGGCGTGTGCGCGGCGTGGGGCGGGGTGCGCGGCGAGGCGGCGGCGGCGGCGGCGCGCGTCAGGTTCTGCAGCAGCGGCTGCGGGGCGGCGGTCAGTCGGTTCGGGGAGCGAGAGGTGGCGTATTGACTGGCGCAGACCCATGTAGAAGTAGCCCAAAAAGGCAACAACCGCGCCGGGGTCGCGAAAGTTTGCGTCCACGCGTTCCCGTGTCCCGGGCCGGTGCGATATAGACAGGTGCAACGTGGGTCTTTGCGGGCACCCGTCTCCGAGACTGCCACATACCCCTGCCACCCCCGATCCAGCGGCAGGGGATCCATAAAAGATTTTTCCCACGGAAAAAAAAGAAGGTATTCGTAGCTAGACCTCTCAGTGTCTTGGGATTGACACTCGCGAAAACAGTATGTATGACTTTCAACTCAGGAGTTGTTGGTGCCTGCGCCATGGGTTCGATTCTAGTTTAATTTAAATATTCAGATGGCTCATTTTCCGGGTTCTGAGTATTAATTCAATACACTCGAGCAACCTGAATTCAAATCCCTCATATTGATTTCTATTTTAAGTGTTGAAAGAAAACGTAATGGAAAAACCAGCATATTTTCACAATAATAATTTAAAGATAAATGAACCTTTCCCTACCGAAGAGATCTTTATCAAGCGGATTTCGACTGTTACTTTGTTTTTGTTTTTGTTTTTATTATCCAGATACCTTCATATTTTAGCCAATGTTGGCATAAAGTGACCTTTTTTCAAATTAACCTTGACCAACATTGGCACGTGAAATGTTGACTGACTAAATCCATCAATTCCTTTCCCCACAGATATTATTATTAAAAACCAACTTAACGTGAACACAATCGATCGACACCATTGTTTGCTGATCATGATATGAAGTCGACTGTACTGTTGTTAAAGAAGGCTCGGCTCCACTTACTCCCTCGACACGTGTTTGCTGTTCACGATATGGAGTTTCGACGATATGTACTGTTGTTAAAGAAGGCTCGAGTCCACTTACTCCCTCGACACGTGTTTGCTGTTCACGATATGGAGTTTACTATTCTGTTGTTAAAGGGCTGGACGATATGGAGTCGACGGTACTGTTGTTAAAGAAGGCTCGAGTCCACTTACTCCCTCGACACGTGTTTTGCTGTTCCTCGACACGTGTTTGCTGTTCGACGATAGGCTCGGTCCACTTACTCCCTCGACACGTGTTTACTGTTACTGAGTTTACTATAAAGGGCTGGACGATATGGAGTCGACGGTACTGTTGTTAAAGAAGGCTCGAGTCCACTTACTCCCTCGACAGGTGTTTGCTGTTCACGATATGGAGTCGACTGTACTGTTGCTAAAGGGCTGGACGATATTTAGTCGACTGTACTGTTGTTAAAGGGCTGCACTCTTACCCCCTGGGCGTCATCGTTCTGAGTGAGGCCGGAAACGCGCAGCACCTCGGCGGTCTTGAGGAACGAGGAGAGGCTGCGCTGGTGGACGTTCACCTCGCCGTGGTATATGAACTCGACGAGGGCGTTCAGGTCGGTGAACGCCACGTCCTGCAGCACGATGACCGGGTGCTTGCACGGCGTCGACTGTACCGGAAGATGGTGAATTATGGATATGACATAAAGTAGTAGGACCAAGCTGCAGTCTTCGCTGATACACGGATGGGTAGGTCCGTCCGGGTAATTGCCACGACCACATAAAAGATCGGCGTGGAGTAGAAGTGTTATACATCTGTGTTTCGTCTGGTGCGTGAGCTATCCGGGGCCCACTTTACTGAAAAATGGCAACTCATTTGCAATCCTAGGAATTTTGCGATTGTCCAGAGGCGGCGGTTATCACTTACCATTAGGGGCACTTGCTGAGCTCGCTTGCTACTTACTCATTCACATAAAATAAGAAGTCATATACTAACACTTTACAAAGTATGATCTAAAGCTAGACACTAGAGATTGAATCACTAGAATTTTCTATTAAATGAAACTATTGCTTCGAATTTATCAAATTTATGTTAAATTTAAATATCCCGAGATACTGTTCCGTCCCACGATAAAGAATAACACAAAGCATTCGAAACGTAGAGAATTTGAGTCTAAATGGTTTTTGCCTTATATTAGATTATTATTATAGTAGATATAATCATGTAGAGCCTGATTGTTGCAACTAAAACAAACATTACACTCCATCACGAGAATACGAGAAAGTTATTCAAAACTTACTTTTAGACAGAAAGTATGAAAGTGCTGAAGTAACACGTATATGCTACAGGAATAATTCAAAGAAAATACCTAAGCTTGGCAAGATAAACTCTTATTTGAGAGAATCATCAGGGATTACTGAGTGCCCTTAGTGGTTATGCAATTCCATAACCTTAAGCGGTACACTAACGTGCCTATACGATTGTCCTAATGATGCATTAGTTAGAAAAGAAGTTTTAGTCGTTGAATCTCTAAGATAATTATCATGTTCACACTTGCAGTAAAAACAGGGTCTAGTGTATTACGTAATATGCATGTATCGTAATTAATTTTCAACATAAAAACGACATGACTCCATCTAATTCAAATCTAAGAACGCGTGAATCACTCATCGGCACCTGCGCAAACAATGGTGTCGAAATCATCTTTATGGTATTTGTCATTACGTATGAACATACATACAAACATTTGTACATACATATAGGTACTTCTATTACAGCGAATTATTTCAGTCTTCGATGGCGACATTTACAAAACGTATCCGTGTATGAAAGCCTCATATCTCTTAAATTCTATAAATTTTGCATATTTTTGCTTAACTTTGGTTTCTCCGAACAAAGTTTGTACGCTTTAAAATTTTAGAAGTGGAATTTGATTTTGTTTGCAAAGGTAAATCTTTGCAGCGTTAAAGCCGACGTGATTTAATAGCTTTTTGCATCGTTTCGATTAATACATTTCATAATATGAGGTTTCTAAATTAGCTAAGTTTCCCGTTAGTCCCGTAAGATGGCAGAATAATAAACCGTGCGGTACCGCACCGTGGATAAGTGGCAAGTTTGTTTGAGGGTGTTCAGCCACGGCAGACGATTTGCATGAAATAATTTTAGACAAGGAATATATACATATTAGGAAACATTTGTACACTTCATTCTCTAGTCCCAAACTAAGCAACGCTTGTATTATGGCTAGTACTCATAGTACACGCGTTATTTCTTTCTACAAGATTATATTATTGTTTTGTTTCTTTAACTTTGCCATCTGTTGGATAAATAAATAAATAATCAGGACACATTTTTACACAATGTTCTATAGTCCCAAACTGAACAAAGGTACGGGTACTAGATAAGCGATAGACATACTTAAAAATATTTTCCTTTTGTAAATAAATACATATTAAAAATATATAAACACTGGAAGAGCACCATTTTCATCACACAATATTTTTCCAGTAGCGTGAATCGAACCCACACTTTCTGGCGCAAGAGACAGGTGCACTACCCACTACAATCGTGTCGTCATCGCGATCCAATGGAACAAGTTTTTCAGGTAAATTAGAGTTTAGGGAGTACCCACCTTCAGGAGCTCCCTGAAATAGGGGCTGCAGGCTGACAGGACCACCCTGTGCGCCTTCAGACTGCGCCCGTCGCAAGCGAGCGTCACGTCGACGAAGTCCTCGTCATCCCTTAGGTTCTCGAAGGCGCTGGTGATGCTGCTCTGGTAGTTGTTCCACCGCAGGCAGAAGTGCTGTGTGTCCACCATCTTGCGTGTTCACTTTATTCCGCTCGCCGTGTAGATTACGGAGTCATGTGGCCGGCAGGCGATCTGAGGGGAGGAACCAGGTTAGTGCCCGCTTCGAGACTGGCAACTAGAAAGTTTTGCGTAAACAAAAGCTCTTAAGAAAAATTCTTTTGAAGACTTTTAAAGAACTCGTTCGGTTAACTTTGTGAAACAAATATCAAGCAATTTGAATGGAATAATTATTCGCTGCGTAATATGAATTGTTATAATTTCTCCAGCTGTACTTTACAACTTGAATTTTTAGACAAATTAGGGATACCAGAAATCTGTGATAATTCCTAATATAAGTCGTAATCTATAGAAATTAGTTACTATTAAATGTAAATGTTTTTTTCCTAATTAAGTGTCGTTGATTTCGACATGAAAATGTAATACACATGTATAGCGAGAGGGAAAAGGTATGATAAAATGTAATAAAGTTAAGAACTCTCGTGACATGGAACTTTTATCAATAGACGTGGCTACGAGTGAACCTGACAAGATGGGATCTTAAACGCGTTAATAATTGTTTACTTCGTGGAAACGTTACTTACTGCCGTGTCCTAGAGAAAATTGCGTAGTTGTCGCATTATCGGCGAGACGGACGGTTTGTTTTTAAAAGTTACGCAGCAATTGATCTGGATGTCCTTAAATAGAAGGCGCGTCACATTATCGGGACATAGGTAACCTATAGGTTAGTAGTAATCGTAAATAGGGCGAGTGCAAAACAACTGGCCGCAAACAAGCGTAGGATAGTCGTTTTTTTTTATCGGCTACGACCTGATTTTTAATCTGTGCACATTATTTTTTTTTTTTATGTTTCACCCATCGCAATTTATTGTCGGCCGTTTGATATAAACGTAGGAGCGTGCAGACGTGGCTTTTGTTTTGATTTATGTAAGCTGTCGGCGTATGCCGGTCGCTTTTTTAATTATGTCCCGCTAATATGACAAATGCGAAGTTTGGTCGTTTGTGTGCGTGTTTCTGTTGAGGTATTCGAATATTTATGACGTCTAAATCGTTAAATGCCAGTTTCGCCTGTTCGCTCAGTTTAAATGTACTGTTAAATGTGTGTAAATTTGTTAAGGTGAATTAGTTATCTATAATGAGCTAATAATATTGGCTTCGGCGTACATGGTCTTGGGTTCGATTCCCACACGGGACAACTATTTGTGTGTCCCACAGATAGTTGTTACGCGTCTGGGTGTTTCTCCACGGATATTTATGTTTGTAATGCGTCCTTACAACACAGTTTAATGTTATCCTAAAGTAAGGGCAATGTTTTTCAATAAAAAGAAAAACTAAACAAAATATTGAATGTAAACTTCTGTAAATTCCCGCTAAATTCTTAATAAGATTTCGGTCAAGATGAAGTTAATTTGATTTGAAATATAGAAAGGTATCTAAAATGTGCGTGACTTGTACGGAATGACCAATATTTTCAATTTGGCAGCATTATTTAATGCTGAATGTATTATAATACCATGGGAAAAGGATGCTTTTGTTCAATAAACGGCTCATAGCGATGTCGTGTTGTTTTGACAGTTTTATAATTTGAGTGGATATTGTGACAATCATTCGGTTAGTTCAGTTAAAGTTATATTTTTGCCATGTCCCATTTAATGTTTTAATAGGTTGTGAAATCCTAAAGACGGATTAGCTGGTGGCTGATTAAAAACCGGCCAAGTGCGAGTCGCACCCGCGCACGATAGGTTCCATATCATTGTCTAAAAAACGACAAAAAATCATGTCTGTTGTATGGGAGCCCCACTTAAATGTTTTTTATTGTGTTTTATTAAGTATTTGTAGTAATAGCGGCAATAAAAATACATTATCAGTGAAAATTTCAACTGTCTAACAATCACGGTTCATGAGATACTGCCCGGTGACAGACGGACGGACAGAAAGACAGACAGCGGAGTCTTAGTAATAGGGTTCCGTTAGGTAGGGTACGGAACCCTAAAAAGGAGTAGGTGTATTGAGTTTTTAAAGTATTATTTTATTTGTGTATTATTATATTTCTATCCCCTAAAATAGACTGTTTTATTTCTTGAAAATTAAAATTTAGTAAAGTAGTGGGACAGGGTTGAATTGGATTTTCATTGTAGCCTTTTTCATGCTTTTCAAGTGATTCCTGGCAATACTATCGTACAATAAGTGAAGTGATTCATTGATTACCTGGGGCCTTCAAATATTTTTTAATTCCTTTATCTTTATTAGTGATTAATTAAGTAATCTGTATATCAAATTCACTTTTAAAACCTTTGCATAACCAACAAAACAATCAACATTATACATTCGAGAGCGGGCGATCTATCAAGCATTGGACTCAAGATTTATCAACGTTTCTCCAGCCAAATTCATAGAGTAATGTCTGATTTTTAACAGAGTTTTAGTTTAGGCAAATATTTGATACGAATCTTGCAAAAGTAGGCGTATAAAAAAGTAATAGGTAAGTATGGTAGGCGATTACGTCGTTTAGTAAAAAGCATACAAACAGATGCCAGAACATTCGGGGCTCGGTAAAAGAAATGAAAAGAAATTAGGAACAGTTATTAGAGTATAATACGAAAAGTCTCATTGAGATGGCTTGTATGACTTTGTATGGGTTCTCTCATTCAGCGCGGAGGTCGGTTCGAGTGGCGATTGTTTAGTTTAAAGAAAGTTTTCGGGGGGGACTTTTTGGGGTTTGCCTTTGGGGTTATCCCTCATTGTGGACTCTCACAATGGAGGATTCGATTCAGTTGTGAATTGAAAAACTCCGCTAAGTATATTCAAAGTTTTCGCGACTTTCACAGATTTCCCGCTCGGCGAAGGGGTGGAAACGTAATTTGATAGGATGAATGCTTGTTTGTTTCTGTGAGTTTTTGAACGGCTCGCTGGGACGGTTTGCTCGTAACTGGATCAAAATTACTCATTGCCTGTAATTACAATTCTGAGTTAACAATTTTAATAATACGCTCTTATCTTTTGCATTTCTAGTTGAAGCTAGTGTAAACTGTGTGTTACGAGCACCAGTGTCAATCGAAATAATGATGCGATTTACAATAAGCTAAGCAAATGTGCGGGAAGTCGATGGATGCAGATGGCTCAGGATCGTACTTCCTGGCAGTCTATGAGGCAGGCCTATTGTTATTATTATTATATATACTTTATTGTACACCACAAAAAGTTTTATACAGTTGATATAAAATAAATCTTAAAAGCTAGGTACAATAAGGCGGTCTTATCGCTAAAGAGCGATTTCTTCCAGACAACCTTAGGACAAGGAAAATAAACTTATGAATAGTGGGCGGTGGTGTGCTTAATAAACTGCCTATATTCAGCAGTGGACTCAAACAGGCTGAAATGTTGATGATGATGAAGCAAACGTAATTTCTTCAAGGCAAGCTTCGGAATTAATGAATTTAGGAGTAAAATTCAATTCCTGTGTACATTATAAGTCTGTGCTAGTGACTATACGACCTAGTCTTGTTGACCTAGTCGTGGGATTTCTATATTTCTCTATGCCAGTCACTAGATAATTATTTTTATCGCGTTTTCGTAGCATCTGTTTCAGTGTCGGATCCTGGGATGCAAATTAATTTCGGTACTTAGTATATACGCCGGTTTATTTTCTTATTTTAACTCGATAAATATTCGCAAAGAAGACGTTAAGGGAGGCTAAAGTGGGCGACACGTAAACCCATCATTGGACACTCGACAACATCAGCAATTGCGCAACAAAGTGTCGCATAGTTCTAATGTATTCCTGAAAATCCGTATCGAGGCTGGACTGCGGTTTCAAAGACGCAATCCATCCTCTAGGCTGCTAGTAATAAGGGTGCCATACCCGTTTCTCGGCTGCAAACAAGAGTGGTGTTCCGCGCGAGTTTTTTCAACAAATCGTAGACAATAGGTCCCGGTGACCGAGAAACAATGCTGCTCGGGTTACCACTCGGTATGCGGGTTGGCGATCTCGGCGGGGAGTTGGCGTTATTAACGATTTTATTGGTCCAACTGAGTCTATGAAAATCAAACTGTGCGACAATGCAAAGAAACCTAGAGAATCCGGACGATTAACTGTGGGCGGGCCACGCAACATTTCGGGGAGATCTGTCCAGGTAAGTACCACGACCTCACAGAAGACCGGTGTCAAGTGGAAGTGTTACCGCGTTTCGTCTGGTGAGCGAGGTAGCCGGGCCCACTTTATGGTGGCAACGCATAAAAGGTGGCAACGCATCTGCTATCCTACGGGTTGCACACTTAACGTCGGTTGAGCCGCCAGCTCGCTAGTCACCTTCTCGCATAAAAAAAGGATTTTCTCATCCCACGTATGTCGGGAAGTTGTGACGATACGATTTTATTGTATCTGTGACCCAAAGTGGGTATTGATTCCATTTACTTGATCAATAGCGAAATGTTAAATGCTGCCTATAATCGTGAACATATAAATAATATTATAATCGAATTGCATACGACCCCAAGAGTACTTTAGTCGAGATATCGAAGCCAGTGATTAATTGAATATTAATGATTAAAGGAAGGTTTTTACGTCATGTGTTTTGAAGCGACTAATGGTTGTACTGCCCGTTAAATGGTACGGGTTCAATAGTAAGTGAGCAAGAGATTTTTGGTGACCTTTAAGATGAAACTCATCTCATTCAGTGACAGGTACGTAGGCGTAAAAAAATTCCACAGAAGTTGTGCGTGGCAAACTATCAGGATGTGATAAGAAGATCCAGTGTCGTGTTGTTAATCGTTTTTCTATTTACGTTAATTATTAATGTTAATTAGCACACTTTAAGGATTCATGACCTATATTGCAGTTGGAGGAGTAACCTCGGTCGGTTGGTTGAATCCCTAAACTTTGTAGAACACTGAACAACGCAGCGTGTGGTAATTGTATCAATCGTGAAACTAATACGACAGTATGAAACAGGGCTTGGAAAAGAAAAAAAATGAATAGATTATGGCCTAATAAGGGGCCTTGAGTAGAGCAA